CGCTCCTCTAACTTCCTACCACACGGTGCTGCTCCCAAAGCAGGGCCCTTAAAGTTTCTGTCTCAGCTCCTCACCCCATGCCTGAATTCCTTCTAGACCAGCTTGTGCTTGTTCACCTCCACTGACGGGAGCCTCATTACCTCCAGGGGCAGCTCATTTGCTCGGACCAGACGGGGTTCTCTTTATTGCGCCAAAAGCATGTTGTTCTCATTTCCATCCATTGGTGATTATCTGTTTCATAATAGCTGCTCCTAGTAGGTGAAATTATCTCATATCAGCCACTCTACCTGCATCACCCCCTTGAATCCTGTCAATGATTTTGAGGGGTGATTTCAGCGATATGAAAATTGAGGCTAAAAACAACTAAATAACTCGGTCACAAGGTCCCAGTCACACAGTGAGTAAAGGGTAAGAGCTGAAAGTTGAACCTTAGCAGGCGGAAGGCAGGGCCCGAACAACCAACCTGCCTCCCAACGTGCCGAGGGGCCCAGGCCTCTTGTCTCCCACGGTTGCCTGTCTGTATTAAAAGGACATCCCCAGGCTGGGGTCTTCGTTTTTCTTAGAGACCTTCCCAGCAGCCTTTGCCAGCAGATGAAGTGTGGCCTGGGCATGGCGGATGACTGATGTTATTTCAGACCAGCAAATGGGGAGCAGAGGGATAGTCAGAGGGAAAGAAGCCACCTGCCCAGGGGCACGTGGGTTTGAGGAGGGTGGAGGAGACGACCCTGGGGCTAAGGTTTAGGACTGGAGGTGGCTGGAAATTCACCCTCTTCCCATGGAGGAGAGGTAGAGAGGCAGCTATGATAAGCCACGCCTTAAACCAAACACTCTGTCCACCCTCCAACTTGAAAAGGGCAGAATTTTCCACCAAGGTGATGCCTTGGGCTGAAGACCTCAGGGCCACAGAGATGAAAAAGGCATGGGACTCAGTAATCCTACCTGTAGTCTTTACCCATGTGCCCGCTGCTCAGCACCATCCCCTTAGAATTCGAGGGGGGGGGGGCGTGGAGAAGGAGGGAGTGAGAGCAAGACAGAAGCCAGAAGACTGAGGCCCCCCAGTGGCCCCTGTTAAGCCTTAGAAGGCAGGTCGTGGCCGGGTGTGAGCAGCTTTCCTCTCTAGGTCTAGATCAGGCACTCCCAGCGCAGATAGCACAGTGAGGCACCTCTACGCTGCCTTCCCAAGACTCCAACTCCAGCTACTTCCAAAGGATGAGATTACAGGGTCCTGTGGTTTTTCCACATCCTGTCCATCAGTCCGTCAACAAACATTCTCCGAGCACCGGCTGTGTGCCTGGCCCCGTGGACAACAAGACCAACACCGCACCTTTGGGGCTGCTTGGAATGAGGTTGAGAGCACGGTCAATTCCTCAGCCCTGCCACTTACTACCAGCCGCGTGACCTTAGGGAGACACAATTTATTTGTGCCAGTTTCTTCACCTGTTAAGCGGGATAGTGAGAATGCATCTACCTAGTGGTAAACACTATGGAAGTGGTTCCTATTATTATTTTCTTGTCCTCAAATAACTCCAGGATAATGGGGGAGACTGATGTGTAGACCAACTGTCACAATGCCAGGGGTAGAGCTGGGCACGGGGCACCCTGGGAGGCCAGGAGAAGGGCTGCTCCCTGGCCTGCACTTCATAAACATTTATAGAGAGCCGCTCTGTGCCAGGCGCTGTGCTGGCCACTGGGGACACAGAGATGAACGGGACACATTGTCCACTCATCCGTGCTCCTCCCCTCTCTCCCAAGGCCCAATCCCAGAACCCTGCACTGAGCGGGGTGGGGGGTCATCATGAACAGAACAAAGTGGAGAGAATCAAGGCCTGGAAATCAGGACACCTGGGTTCATGTCCACCACGCACGGGGTACCTGACCTTGGGCCCTCTCTGGCCTCAGTTTCCCCACTGTGGCATGAAGGAGTTGGACAAGATGACCCCTCTGGTCCTGCCCCACTTCTGACAGGTGATGAGTAACTCCACTCCCACAGAGCTTGAAACTCACCCCAAGTGCAGTCCCTAGGCCATCCCAGCCTGCTGGCCGGCCCACTGAGGCAGTGGGGAAGAGATGTCTGCCTGGCACTGACTGGCACTGCCTTGCTGAAGAGCTGGCACAATTTCACATGAAATAGGGGGGCCTGGATCTAAAGGCGGGTTGTTTGAAGGGGGTGGGGGGTGCTGGGGAAAGGCAGAGCCAGCTCCCACAGGCCCTATTCATAGCTCTCCCTGGGGAGGGAGACACAGCAGGATAATTAAAACCGGGCTTTGTCCAAATCCCTGACCAAGCCAATATCTCACCTTTGAACCCCTGCAGCCAACAGAGCAGGGCTGATGTCCCTTTGGAAGGAAAACACCAATGAACTGAGCCACAGTCCAAGTGCAATGGGCCGACATGGGGTGGGGGTGGGGGTGTTGGAGGAGTAAATGAGCGGATTCCAGACCCACCAACATGGATGGGCGCCTGGGGCTTCGCCACCCTGAGGCCTCCGGTGGCCTTCCCGGTAGCAGCCTGACAACACACATCCAAGCTCCAACCCAGCGAGAGGCTAACCTTGTTCTTGGGCTGTGTCCACGATGGACCCAGATTCGGGGTGGGAGTGACAGCAGGGCAAGGGAGGTCCCGAGAAGCAGGATGGCAGGGTGAGAGTGTGGTCTCTGCAGCCAGATTGCCTGGCTCTAACACTTGTTTACGATGTGATCTTGGCCAAGCGATTAGCTGTCTATGCTTCCGTGTCCTCAACTGTAAAATGCCGATAATGACAGGACCCACGTCACAGTGGTGTTGTGAGAATAAAATGAGGTAATTTCTAAAAATCCTGACCTTGCTACCTATCTCTTAACTCTCAGCTGTATTAATAAAGCAACTCCCTCCCTTAAAAACAAGCCCCCGCCGCCCCCCCCCCCCCCGCAAAGAACATATACTCATTTGAATATATTTGCATCCCCTATGAATCTCTCCAGAATCCTGCACTGGAAGCCAACATCGCAGGAAGCTACGTAACCCACTATGTAACCCACTATACCGGAGGAAACTTCCTAGAGTGACATCCAAGCCAGACTGGCTCACAAGCCTCTCCCTACAAGTTCCCCTGGATAGCTAACTCCCCTTCCGCAGGGGCTCAGGAGCAACCTGATGAGGAGGCAGAGAAGTCCCCATCCAGGCAGCCTAGCACAAGGCCTACGCAAGAGCGACTGGGTTCAGTCCCTCTCTGCTCGGGCTGTGATCCTTGAAAGCCTGCCCCATTCCCCACGGTGTCCTAAAGCCACCTTCCTAACAGCACTCCCCTCTCCAAAGCTTTACCTAATGCCAGGATTCTCATCAGGGTACCCAGGTTCTAGCCCGGGCACGATCGCTGTGTAGTCTCAGACCCTGATACCCACCCTGCCCGCTCCGGGGGCTTCTGGAGGTCCTGGAAACCAGCATTGGAGGTAAGGGATTTACTGCTCTCATCATTCCCAAGGGGAAGGCAAGGCCTCAGATGGCGGAACTGGAGTTTCCAGGCACCTAGGGGTAGACCCAATCACCTTGTGAGCAAGTGGAAGAGGCTGGGACTGGGGGACCTTTGGGTTGTGTTTGGAGGCGAAATGACTGGTTATGTAATGGAGATTCAAATCGCATGCCAATGAGCACATCTCAGGGAGAGCAGCCACTTTGGGGAATAAGGCTGTTGCCCTGGCAGAGGGGGAGAACCACAGGGAATCAAACTCCATCCACCCCCAGCTGGGCCTGGGGTAGGGGTGGGGGGTGGGGGTGGACATGGTAGGGGGGGGTGGAGATGAAGTATGTGTTGGTGAGGGGGAGACTCCAAGGGACTCAGGCTTAATGACCTCCACCCCCACCCCCTGTCCATCCTGAAATTCAAGTTTGTAATTAGGAAACACTTTGGCTGAAAGGCGCAGGGAGAGTCCAGGAAGAGAGATGCAGATTGAGGGAGAACTGAGCTTACATCCAGCTCCTGAGAAACACACCAGTCTCGGAAAGAGTTTGCAAAGCACCAGACCCCAGCTCCAACGTGGGATGGTGGGAAGGGGAGGCAGCTAGGGAAGAACATCCATCAGTAAGCCTTGTCAGAAGAGGAAGAGGCCTCAGCCCAGACCTTGACCACAACCTGGACCCCTAGGAAACTCTTCCAAACTGGGAAAGAGCTGGCCTGACAGTGCCCAGCCCTTCAACTTGGGAAGGAGGGTGGTGTGTGTTGGGGTACTCCAGTAGCCCCAGGGCAGCCAGGCTCGGAGGTAGGGGGCTGGCTCCAAAGGGGCCCAGAGGCCCTTGCTGGCCCATCCCCAGCTTCAGCAGCTGGCAGATGAAAGAATCCAAGCAAAGCAGCCCAGCGCTGAGTAATGCCCCTGGCACCCCGCGCCCAGACCCACCCACAGCCAGCCCGAGGGGGCAGAGGGGAGGGCAGCGGAGCCCTCGGGGCCCGGGATCCCGGTCCCAGGAGCCAGTGGGCCGGCAGACCCAGCTCCCCCGAAGCTCGTCGTGCGGCCCGGCCCGGTAGGGGGCGAGTGTGGCGCGGGGAGGGGGGTGTCCGGCCCCAGTGGCCAAGGACATCCCGCTCCGGGAACCCCCTCCCCCACTCCCTCTCGCTCCAGCTGTGCCGGGGCCTCGCCAACGGAAAACGAAAACTCGGGCAGAGGAAACAGCGGCAGGCGCCCCGCCTGAAAAACCCGGACAAAAGGCGCGGGCCTCCCGCCCCCGCTGCCCGGCCGCTGGGGGCCTGGCACGGCTGCCCAGGTCGGTGCCCTCTGCCCTGGCAGCCCCGTGCGCGTCCCGGCCCCCGGCCTGCCTTCCTCCTTCCCGCCCCTTGCCCAGGGCAGCTCTCGCTCCGGCTCCCTCCCCGGCCCAGCACCAGCCGAAGTTCCCAGCAGCCGTGCCCGCGGTGGCCGCACCGTGAGCCCCCGGCTGTGCCCGCCGAGCGGGGGCGCCGCGACCCCGACCCCCCGCGGCCAGCTCCCCCGCAGAGCCTGGATCCGCCCCCTCCCCTGGCCCAGCGCCCTCACCTGAGGGGGCCGGGGCTCCGGGCGGGGCGGGATCCCGACCAGGCAGAAGGCGACTCCATTCATCGGGCGGCAGCGGCGGCTCTGCGGCCAGGGCACTGCCGGGGGCGCGGGCAGGGACCCGGGAGGGGCGGGGCCGGAGGGGGCGGGGCCGAGCGCGGAGCGCCCCCACCCCCGGGGGCCAGCCCCTTCGCTCCGCCCCCTGCGCTCGACGGGGCTCACCCGCCGCCTCTCCCCAGGGCAGCTGACTGGTAAAGGGGGCTCACGCAGGGGGTTGCGCCGGCAGCGGAGCTAGAGGGCAGTATAGCCCGGAGAAGGGAGGTGGTCTCAGGGAGACAATTTGGACTAGCCTCCCGGGAACCGGCCCAGATAGATGGTGATCCTGGCCGGCCCAGGAAAGAGGCCAAGGGCACCGAACCCAGAACTAGCACAGGGAGAGGGAGGCAAGAAGGAAGGAAGGCAGAGAGAAGCAGAGAGAAACACAAGCAGACAGAGGTGCTCAGAAACAAAGACTGAGAGACACAGAAAGCATGAAAGAGGCAGAGACAAGATCGAGACAGAGTAGAGAGCGGCAGAGAAAGGGACAAAGATGAAGAGAAACGCGGGTTGAAGAGACGGAAAGACGGAAGAAGGCTTACAGAGCTTTTCCATCCTCATGGAGACAGGGCAGAAATGGTGATGCCCATGGGGGTGGGGGCGGAAGGGGCTAGATAGGGCCCCTCTATCTAGGGCCCCTGTCCCAGGGAGAGTCTCGGCCCAGGACCCCAGGGAGACAGAGGAATGGAGGCTGGAAGAAAAAGGTGGGCAGGTGCCCCAGCCCTTCAGACCCCCCAGCCAGCCAGCCTGGGGCTCAGGCCTCTGGACCAGCCCATAGATCTGCTCTGCAGTAGACAACAGTGAGAGCCCAGATACCCCCAGGCCTCCCAGTTACACGCTCTCCACAGCCTCCCTTTGGGGCTTCATTCCAAGATGGGCCCAAAGAGCCACTGGGGTCTTGAGCCAGTTCATTTCCTTGCCCCCAAGCAGGACCCCTCATCAGGCCATCTCCTGATGAGCCAGGAAGAGATAGTCCTTCAGTCCTTCATGTCTGCTGGAAAGTTCTTTCTGCTATCTAACTGACGTCCTTCTTACTTCCTATTTCCGACAGCCCATGCTTACCTCTTTTCCATGCCTTCTTGCAGTTTTCAAGGGCTCCTGTATTCCTTCTCCCAGATTATGAAGGAAAGAAAGCAGAGGCCACAGGCAGATAGGAATTTGATTTGGACAAGACAGGCAACGAAAGTGGAAGACTGACTCTACCTACTGGAATCACCCAACCCCTCTGGGGCAAGGAGACCACCAAAAACCTGCTTGCTTCACCACCATCACCAACCCCAAGTCCCCGCAAGATCAGGGACTCAGGTCCTGGAGGGGCTTGAGGGGCTCAGCCACTAACTGGGCCATCCCAGCTCCTGTGAGTCTGAGGAAGGAGACGCTGACTTGTTTTTAAATCTGATGTTTTATTTCATTTCTTTTACATCCCCTGGAAGTCCATGCAGAGGGATGCTTTTACGATGACGGAAGGGCACTTAATGACCCCTCTTCCTGTCCTCCTCTCTCCATCAAGGTCACATGCAGCTGGAATTATCCCCCACTTCTGAGAAGTGCTTCCTGCTATCTAACTGTAATCCGTCATGCTGCCTGTATTCTCTTGCTTCGTTTTCAACAACGTTCCCGTTTCTACCTCTTTCTGTCCCGTGGTTCCTGTGGTTCAAGGCTTGCTGCCACCCTGGCTCAGGGTCCTTTTCTCTCAGAACAAATGGGCTGTCTGTGTGAGGGGGAAGCAGTAGCATCAGGGATCCAGGCTGAACCGAGGCTGTGGGGGAGGGGAGGAGAGGAGGGAGGTGACCACTGGGGTGCCCCTGGCTCACTTTTTCCAGAGTCTGATGCCCTCAGACCCTGCGGGAGGCAGTGAGAGGAAATGAGCTCACACCGGCCAGCAGATGAATTCCTCCCTCCACAATGCACTGCGCACACCTCCCCCACCCTCTCCTACTTCCCAGAAAGTACGCTCTTCCCCCACCCTGCTGCCCTTCCCACCTCTTCCTGCACCTTGACCCCGCACCCCCATCCTGTCCCGGCCCTCCCCCCATCAATCTTCTCCAGCCCCTCTTCCTCCCGTCCTTTCCCTCAGACTCCCCGGGTCTCGCTCCCTGGTCCCACCACCCACCCCCAAATCCACTCTATCGCGGGCACACTCTTGCCCTAGGGGTCCTAGAAGTACCGCTGAACAGGGGCAGAAGGTGTCCCTCACTGAGGACCCTCCTTATACTTCCCCTCTTTCTAAGACCCTCCCCCCAGCCCAGTCACCTGCCTCTGTTCACAAATGCTTACTGGGAACCCTAGTAGATGAGGGGTTGAGGGAGTGGAGGTCGCCCCTGGGAAGATGGAGATTAGACCTAGCTCCTTCCCTTGAGGAGTCCTCGGCTTTTACCAATCCTCACTCTGTAGTGACATCTCTGAAAAGGAGCAAAGGGAGGCTAGAGAAACAGAGGAAGGCTTCCACAAGGAGGCGGCCTTGAGCTTCTGGGGGCCTCACGGATGAGGGGGGCAGTGGGGTGGAGTGGGGAATGGGGGGAGAGCTCCAGGGAAAAGGACTCTCATAGGCAAAGGCAGGGAGGCAGGAGAAAGCAGAGTCTAGTCGCGTGGCTGGCACCAAGCAGAGGGTATGGAAGGTACATACGTGGGCAGGAAGCATGGAGGGAAGAGGAAGGAAATGTGGGCGGGGATATGACGACGGAGTGACTGGGCCTTGAGGCACTTTGATTCTAGCCTGGCCGGGGGCAGGGATTGAAGCAGAGACGTGCCAGGTCGCCAGAAAGAAGGAGGGCAACGGGGAGATGGGAATGGTGGGGAGCCGGGTGGGGGAGACACTGCACCAGGGCAGGGGCAAGAAACATCAGAGACCCCAGGACGCGGTGACCAACTGGGAGTTGGGGGAAGGAGAGTGTTCTCGAGGGAGAGGGGGCATGCCAGGCCCCGTATGGGCCTTTGTATGTATTATTCCAGGTCAGCCTTACAAAGGAGCTGTGAAAGAGATACTATAATCCTCACTTACGGCTAAGGAAACAGAGGCCCAGAGAGCTTGAGTCTCTTACCTAAGTCCAGCCAGGATCTGAACCCAGGCATGTGGGCTCCAGAGTCCACACACTGAACCTACAGGCTGTGTTGCCAGTGGACAACTGCGGGCAGAGGCCCGAACAGGGGCCATGGCTTTGGAAGTCGTCAGCAGACCAGGAGTGTGATTCGGATTCTACAAGGGCAGGTGCAGGGAGGAGACTGGGTAGGTGAACAGGACATGAGGAGCACCCACCTTTAGGGGCACGTGAGGAAGGAAGAGGGCGTGAGGACAACAGAGAAGACAGAGTGGGAGCAGGGGGCCAGAGGAAGTGGCACCGTGTTGGGCAGAGAGGGCACTTTCAGGGGACTGGAGGAGGCAGAGGCCAGCTCATACAGGGAGAAAGAGTCAGGGGTGAGGAAGTGGAATCGGGCTTGTTAAAAAACAGCAGCACACGGGTGCCTGGGTGGCTCAGTTGGTGAAGCGTCCCGACTCTTGATTTGGGCTTAGGTCTTGATCTCATGGTTCAGGGGATCGAACTCTGCACTTGGGCTGGGCACTGGCAGCGCAGAGCCTGCATGGGACTCTCTCTCTGCCTTCCCTGCACTCTCTCTCTCTCAATAAATAAATAAATAAACTTAAAAAAAAAGAAAGAAAAAAAGCAGCACAGGTGAGCTGTGGGAGAGACTTGGGTGGGAGAGAGACCTGGAGTAAAGAAAAAACCAGAGCGTGTGGGGCTCCAGAGGGAGAACCTGTGTTCCCCACCGTCAGGGAGGAGTCCTCGGACCAGAGCCATCCAGCCAGGATCAGGCCTAGCCCAGGAGCCAGCTAGGAGTCGTATGGTGTCATCAAGGAGCACTGACTCGAGAGTCCAAAGACCTGGGTTCAAGTTCCCATCCTGCCCACCTGATAGCTCTATGTCTTTGAGGAAAAGGACATTCTCTGAACCTGTTTCACCCTCTGTAAGATGGGAACAACAAGACCTTCTCGGCCTGCCTCCCATGTGCGGGTCACATTTGATAATGGATTCAAAGCACACCGTAAGCTGCGAAGGAGAAACAGAGGATCGGGGTTATAGGACGGGCAGCCCTAAACCTGGACGACAGGGGCGGCCCTTCCACTGAAGGGGAAAGAGCACCCCCTGGTGGAGAAGGGCGAGAGGGCAGGACCAGAGGGGAGAGCCTGTTCTTACGCCTCTCTGGCTTTCCGGGCCCCCAGGTTGTCCTCAAAGGAACCTACCCCCACCGAAATTTTCATCTCCAAAGCAGGTGTGGGCCCATTCATTCAAGTCAAGAGATGCTTATCAAACAAGCCACACCCCGTAAAACCCTGCTGTCAGGGCAGGGGCCGGATAAAAGATGCCCCGTCCTGCCATTCTCCCCTGGCAGCCCCTCAGGGGACCCGTGTTTGTCGCGATGCAGGGAGAAGAGGCCTTGGGCTGGGGTCTCAGCCCTGCAGGCTCCCAACTGTGTGACACTGGGTGATTGAGGACGCGGTGGCCTGGACTGAATGTACAAGGCTAACAGATGACTTATACGGGCGATGACACCACCTAGGACATCACGAAGACGTGTTAAAATGTGTCAAGTGCCTACTGTGTGCCAAGCTCTTTACCAACATTATTCCATTTACTCCCCATGACCACCCTGTAAGGGGGGTATTATTAGCCCCGCTATATAAATGAGGACACAAAGCTCAGAAAAGGTGAAGTAACTTGCTGAGGTCTGATGCCAAGCTGTTGCTCTATGAAGCAGGATCCCTCCGGGAGGAGCTAGGCCAGGTAGTCCCTTCCAGCTCCAGGATGCTAAATTCTGAGGTTCTGTGTGAGGGCTTCTAAATTCTTCCAGCAACTGGCCTGCAGTCCTGCTTCTGCCACGGGCCCCCAGACCCCGCCTGGCTGTCCCGAACCACTGCGCACCCTGCACACAGAAGGGCCCTGGCCCCTCTCCTCCCCGTCTCCATTCTGCCCTTCTAGGAAAGGAGGGGAGTGGAGAGGAGGAAAAGGGAGAAGAGAGAAACATAGAG